ATCACCCCAAAAAGTTCCTCCATGCCTCCTTACAGTCAGTCCTCTTTCTGCTGTCCCTAGCCCCTGGCAGCCAGTGATCCGATTTCTGTCCTTATAGTTTTGCCTTTTCCAGAATGCAGTATAAATGGAATCATGTAGTATGCAGCCTTTTTTTAAAAAAAAAAAAAAAGATGACCGGTAAGGGGATCTTAACCCTTGACTTGGTGTTGTCAGCACCACACTCTCCAAAGTGAGCCACGGGCCAGCCCTAGTATGCAGCCTGTTTGAGTGTGGCTTCTTTCATTTGGCGTAATGCTTTTGCAATTCTTCTGTGTTGTGTGTAACAGGAGTTCATTCCTTTTTATTGATGAGTAGCGTGGTGTCAGTATATTTTTTAAAATATTTTAAAAATACTGTCCATATGCGTGTATGGACAGAGGTGAAGGATGACTGAAATCCCACATCTCATGTGTGGTGGAATTTATCTGTTTCTGTCAGGTCACTGCTTCAGCATTATGAAAAGTTTCAAGTGTCAGTTTCCACAGTTGGAAAGTACATTAATTTATAATCCTGTTACTTTTAAAAATATTGTTCTGTTAATGTCAGAATATAAAAGGTTATACATAAAATATTATGTATACTACATGAGATTAGGGCAGTGTTCTGTCTTGACCTAATGCATTAATTTGCTAGGGCTGCTCTAACAAAGTACCACAAAATGGGTGGCTTAAATAACAGATATATTTTCTTACAGTTCTGGAGGCTGAAAGTCCAAGATCAAGGTATCAGCAGGATTGGTTTCTCCTGAGGCCCATGAGGGAAAAATCTGTTTCAGGCCTCGCTCCTTGACTTGTAGGTAGCCATCTTTTCCTTGTATATTGTCTTCCCTGTTTTTGTCTGTGTCCAAATTTCCTCTTCTTCTAATGACACCAGTTATGCTGGATTAGGGTCCACCCTAATGATCCCATTTTAACTTAATTTACTCTTTAAAGGCCCTATCTCAAAATACAGTTACATTCTGTGGTACTGGGGGTTAGGACTTCAACATATGAATATTTAGGACACAATTCAGCCCATAATACCTAGGGTCTGTAGATTTATGTGTGTTTATGCACATATGTGAATATTTCTAGGGAGAGGTTTCATAGCTTTCTTTGGAATGATTCTCAGTGGTGGCAGGTGAGCATTTAAAAAAGAGGAAGAACCACTGCTCTAATGTAAGCTCTTGTTTTAGAATGAAAATCATCAATGTTATAGAAATATATTTATTAACATGTCGAGAAGTCATGCTTTAATGTTGATTGAAAAAGTTTACAGAAATATGATACACAGAAAATGCCATTCTTGTTTAAAAAGTGACAAACACAAATAGAATATTAATAAAGCTAGCATAAATGAGTAGGTATGTTGTGCCAGCCCTGTGACAAAGGCTCTCCATGAGTTAAAATGATTCTTACAACAGTATGAAGACGTATGTACGATTATCCTCATTTTATGGATGAAGAACTGAGGCTCAAACAGGGAATAAATGACTTGTCCAAGGTCATACTACTAATTGATGTGCCAGCCCTGTGACAAAGGCTCTCCATGAGTTAAAATGATTCTTACAACAGTATGAAGATGTATGTACGATTATCCTCATTTTATGGATGAAGAACTGAGGCTCAAACAGGGAATAAATGACTTGTCCAAGGTCATACTACTAATTGAAAAAAAAGGCTAGTACTTGAATCAAGGTTGGCTGCTTTCCAGAGCCCTTACCCCTAACCAATAGGTGGAACTGACCAAACATCTGAAAGGACAGTGACATAGAATCTCAAATGTAGACACTGTACTGGCTTTTCTGTATCTTTATATCTTTTCTGAAACAAGCATGTTTTTCAATGAAATGTAGTTAAATGAGCATATGTACTTTTTAAAAGAACTTTAAACAAAAAGCAATGATAGTTAAATAGAAAGGTCTCTATTTGAACCTTACCATAAATTTAGATGAGCAGTCATTGTCCTGAGAAAAAGAGGATAAATCACATTAATGCTGTAACTTCCTGATTTACTGTTCATTTTGCTCCAGATCTGGGGAGGGGTCAGTGGTCAAGACTCCTGCCCACAGTGATGGAAGCTAATGTGGCGCCAGGTCATAGGTGTCCCAAGCTTATACCACAGAGCATGGACCCAGGATTCTTCCTTGGCTTTCTTCTCAGGCAGGGCTGATTTGAAGCAGGCTAGGCCCTGTCTTGGTAGAAAATGTAAGAGGCTCCTTTATCCTAGAGCTCTCTTTACTGGCTTCAGTACCTCACTGTGCGCCCAGCACCGTTGGGAGTCCCTGAGATCCATCAGATGTGGGCACTGCCCTCGAGGAGCCCAGGCTGGAGAGGACAGATAATGACGGTGCAGTGTGGTGGGGACTGTTCTCCAGAGAGCCCTGGCTTCACGTGGGCCTCCCTAGAAAGAATTGCCCAGAGTCCACCCAGAAAGGCTCTAGACTAGAGGAGTGTGTGTCAGCTATTAAGCCTTCCTGGCCCACCCTCCCTTCAAACTGGGAGCTCTCTTGTTTTTAGGACATTATTGGGAGAGGAGGACAGATGGCACCAATTTCTGATTAGCCCTTTGATACGTATTTTGTATATGTGTGTATATATTTTTATATCCTCATGCAAAGGAAATACTAAATCATCGGCGTCACAGTTCTTTGATTAGACTCAGATGGAAGAAGGATGCTGCAGAAAAGGGAGGAATGGGGATGTTAATTGTCATGGCAACCAGCAGGTTTTTATAGTGGAACACTGCCTTTGTAACCCAAATCCATCACCTTTTTTCTAACTGCAGAAAACCGACGCAAACTCAAGAAATTATAGTACCGTCTCTCAGTGGGGTTTTGTTTGCTTTTGGGAAACAGTCTTGCAGTAATTTCAGTCTCTTCATATAATTTCAGAACTGAAAAGGAGCTGTAAGTACCCTGGAATCTTACAGAAGTCACATACGGCTTTCCCATTATTATAGTTGATCTTCCTCACTTCACCACCACCACCAGTCTCTCCATCATGAGCTGGCAGACGTTAGATATTCTGTCACAGAGCACTTTGAGCAGAAAGGCAAAAACTAGGCTGCTCTTTACTTCCCCTAATGTCCTAGCCTGAGGAATCCCCCTCACCTAGGACCACGCCTTGAGGTTGAGTACTCTGAGACTGTTGGCCCTAACAGATGAGAAGACAGTGCTTCCGTGGGCGTAGCGCTGAGATTGGTGGTACCTATGTCTCCACCGCTTGTGGCAGGGACCAGGGAGTCAGTCAGGCACCTAGTCATGGCACTGAATTTAACAGTGAGCTCTTTTTATCCCCTTGGGTTGGCTTCTTTCCACCCCTACCACCCATCGTCTCCTTATTGCCCACCCTTCCACCATGTAAGGAGCAAGGGCTGTGGAGATGTCAGGCCAGAGTCCATTCATGAGCAGCACAGGTTCGGATTGTGCTTGCGGTGACTCAGCCTTCAGTCTCCTTCAACACACTCATCAACTAATGTGTGTTGAGCACCTCCTATACAAGGATACTTCAGAAATTTTGTGGAAAAATAGAATTGAAAGATGACGTGACTCTTCCCGTGAACTTCTGAAGTATCCTCATAGGCTCGGCTTCCCAGGGAACAAAACCAAAATGCCTTCCCTCATTGAGTGTGTATTGTAGTAGGACAAGGCAAATAAACCAGACACATAAGTAAAATATACAGTATGTTAAATGGTGATAAGTGCAGTATTATTTTTTTAACTTGAAATGTTTGTCTTTTTATTACTGATTTGCATAAGTTCTTTATATATTCTAGATACAATGCTTTTGTTTTGAATTATGGCAAAGTCCAATTCATTAATTTTTTGTGGCAAGTGCTTTTTTTCTAATTCTATTTAATTTAGTTAATTTATTTTAGTTGAAGCATAATTGATTATACATATTTGGGGGGGTACAAGGTTGACTACCATCACCTGTGTACAGTGTATGTTGATCAAATCAATATTATTAGCATATTCATTATTACAAATCGTACTTATTCTTTATGCCACTTACCCAGTCTTTCTCCATCCCCCTTTCTCTCCCCCTCCCACCACTAATAACCATAGATTTGTTCTCTCCTTCTGAAAGATTAATGGTTTCTCTTGTTGATTGTTGCCTAGATGATCTGTCCAGTGCTGAGAGAGGGGTGTTCAGGTCCCTCACTATTACTGTAGAGCAGATGTTTTTTCTGTTACTCTGGAGTAGGCTTCATGGAGAGAGACGTCCTCTCTTTTTTTTTTTTTTTTTTTTTTTTGTCTCTGCTGGTGACTCTCCTTGTGCCAGTGCAGTCAAGTGTCTGGCAGGCCACCTGCACAGTGGCTGTGGCTCCGGCTGTGGCTAATAGCAGCTTTTGTGGCAGCTGTGGCAACTGCGGTGGCTATGGTGGGCCACCAACGTAGAAGTGGTGTTTTTGGCATGCTCCTTGCCTGGTTGTAGGTAGGGGTGGCAGCCCCCAGATCCATGCCTCAGAACCCCTGCATGGGTCCTGTGCTGGATAAGTGCAATATTAAAAAAATAAAACAGGGGAGGGGCTTGGCGAGGCCCAAAGTGGGGCTAGAAGGAAGAGTTTTATTTTTATTATTTTTTTTATTTTTTTATTTTTTTCCTTTTTTGTCTTTTTTACTGACCGGTATGGTAACAGGATCGCAACCCTCGGTGTTGCACCCATACCGGGGACCGGCAACGGGATCGCAAGCCTCGGTGTTGCGCCCGCACTGCACTCAGCCAGTGAGCGGGAACCGGTCTCCACATGGGATCCGAACCCTTGGTGGGAGCGCCACCGCGCTCCCAAGCGGAGCACTCTCCAGTGCGCCACTGGGCTGGCCCAGGAAGGGTTTTAAATAGGAGTCTCAAGGAAAGCTCTCCTAAGAGACATCGAGGGAAGCCCCGTGGAAGGAAGCTGTGCAGCCATCTAAGGGAAGAATATTCCAGGAAGAGGGAATGGCAAATACAGACTCGCTGGGACAGGAGCGTACCTGCTGTGTTTGAGGCACATAAAGGAGGCCTTGTGTCTGGAGCAGGGTGAGCAAGGAGTTGAATGGTACGTCATGGGTTCCAAGAGGTAGAGGGGAAGCCAGGCATGGGCAGTGCATGTTTTGCAAGGATTCCCTTGGCTGCTGGGTTGAGAAGAAATTGTAGATGGGTGTGTGCTGGCTCAGTGAGACCTTGTAGGGAGCAGTGATGGTGGCTTGGATTGGAATGAGAGCTGTGGAGGTGATGAGAATGGGCAGATCTGCTAAATGCAGGCTGTGTTCAGGCTCCTTTAGTGTGCTAAACTCTGCATGGTGAGTGAAGAGGAAGCACAGTGTAGGGCTTTGGGGATAATGTGCCTGGTTTTTAAATCCTGGTTCTGCCACCTACAAGCTGTGTGAAGTCATCTTAGCTAATTTGCTCTGCCCATTTGAGCTTCAGTTTCCTCATGTAAAAAATAAAAGTAATTCTTTCCTTATAGGGATGTTGGAGGCTTATGTAAGATAATACACAGAGGGTCTTCCCTGACTTAGCTTACACCTGGCTCGGGTGCTCCTCCACACCTGTGCCCAGATGTTGGGGGCCTTTGCATCCTGGTGACTTGCAGATTGCTTGTCTCTCTCTCCACTGGGAAGTGGGCAGGAGTTGTACTTCCAGTGCTTGGCACATAATGCAGAATAAATGATAGAGAAATGGGAGGAAGTGAGGAAGGAAAGAAAAAATACATTAAGAGTTTTATGCATAGATATTAGCATAATATTTGAGTTCACACATATCAACAGACAGCAGGACTTTTTTGTTTCAGAGTTCAATGTTTAAGTACATCAAATGATTAGTTAAGGCCTTGGCTACATTTCTATTTAAATAAGTCTAATTAGGGAAGACATGTACTCTTATTTCCATATTTTAACATTTATCTTCTCCCTACTCCTGGCTTGTAGAAAAATGTTTATTCGAAGATGCTAATTGGTGTTTTTACTTAGGTGTTCTTTAAGAATACAGATTTTGTTAGCAGATTTTGTCAACATTCTGAGGAAATTTTTTCCTTGACATTTTAGAATTTACTTATTTTTCTTTAATTGAAATATACTGATTGTACATATTTATGGAGTATAGAGTTATATTTCAGTACATGTATATATACTACATCAAGGTAGTTCGCATTTCATCATTGCAAAGATTTTCCTTAAAGTTTTATGAAAATTTCAAATACATTAAATACATACAAAATACAAAGGTAATAATTTAACACTAGCTGAAGTTACTGGTGATCTAAATCACCCCTCACAATGTCAGTACAGTGGTGACTACTCTGGGGCAGGTTTCCTCTCGAGTTTAGAAAGCTTCTTCTGTTAACTACTGGCTAATGGAAAGCCTTCGATCCCAGCGTAATTTTTCTCTGTTAGAAAAGTCCTACGCATGACATCCTTGTTCACCGTGAGACTATTTGACCTTTGTCTGGAACTGCTGTATCATTTAAAGTTAAAGTCAGTGATACAGGTTGAATTCTATCCCCCTCCAAAAAGAAATGTTGATTTCCTAACCCGCAGTGTTTCACAGCATGACCTTATTTGTCAATAGTGTCTTTCCAGAGGTAATCAAATTAAAATGAGGTCATAGGGTGGACCCTAATCCAGTGTGACTAAGGTGTTTCCTTATTGACCCACAACAACTAAAGTAGCACTACCTGGCCCCAGCATGAGTAGAAATACAAGAGACTCTGAAACCCCAGGACAGCACTCAGTTAGCAGATAGTTATCTCTGTGATCCCCCAAATGACGTTATATTAATATTCTTTACCACCTAAATAAACACAGCTTTTTAAATTGTTTGTAGCAAACTCATGGAACCCCAGGACTATGTTCACAGACCCAGCTTGGAAAACACAGAATAAGGGAAGCAGCTCAGACTACAGGTCTGAGTTCAAATCCTGTCTTTGCCACTTTGCAGCTGTGCAACCATGGTCACCTTGCATAATCCCCTGAGCCTGATCCTGTACCCACAGAGTGGAAATGATGCCTGCCTACTTGTGGATTGTTTTGAGAACCCAAGGTAATGAAAATGGTCTAGAGTTGTGCCTTGCACATAGAAGACGTTAAGGACCCTCTGTGTATTATCATACATAAGGCTCCAACATCCCTATAAGGAAAGAATTATATTTATTTTTTATGTGAGGAAACTGAAGCTCAAATGGGTAAAGCAAATTAGCTAAGATGACTTCACACAGGCTGGGGTGAAAGGGAGGAACCAAACAAGGAAGCTAGAAGAGATTCAGTTGGAGGGGGACGGGTCCCAGCCTGGCAGACAGAGGGGTCTAACTCTCCTGTTTGAACTTTACCAGAGAGGTTTTCACCCAAGTAGTTTTTTCCTCTCAGATATAAAGTCACAGATTCCTTTGCTTAACAAGATTTCCTTAACAAGGAATGGAGACCCCGAGAGACAAAGTAACTTGTCCAAGGTTAGGTGGTCTTGTTAGTTGGGCTTTTTTTGTGTACCAGGACAACCAAAAACCAAAAAAACTGCTGTTGGGTTTTCCTTTAAAAAAAAAAAAAAAGTTTTATTGAGATACAACTCAATTCACCCATTTAAAGTATACAATGTAATGGTTTTTAGCATATTCACAAAATTGTGCAATTACCATCACAATCAATTTTGGAACATTTTCATCACCCCAAAAAGATACTTAGTAGCAACCACTCTCCATTCCTTACCCTACCCCAAAACCCCCAAGCCTAGGTAACCATTAATCTACTTTCTGTCTCTATGGGTTAGCCTATTCTGGACATTTTCTGTAAATGGAATCATACATTATGTGGTCTTTTGTGTCTGGCTCCTTGCAACAAGCAAAATGTTTTCAGCATTGTAGCGTGAATCAATGCTTTATTTCTTTTTATGGCCAAATAATATTCCATTGTATGGATATACCACATTTTATCAGTTAATGGACAGTTGGGTTGCTTCCATTTTTTGGCTATTATGAGTAATGCTGTTATGAACATTTGTGTATAAGTTTTTGTGTGGGCATCTGTTTTTATTCCTCTTGAGTGAATACCTAGGAGTAGAATTTCTGGGTCATATGATAATTCTATGTTTAACCTTTTGAGAAACTGCCAGTGTTTTCCAAAGTGGTTGCAACAATTTACATTCCCACCAGTAGAGTATGCGGGTTCCAATTTCTCCACATCCTCACCAGCACTTGTAATTATCTGTCTTTTGATTGTAGCTGTCCTGGTGGGTGTGGATTCTCATTACAGTTTTGTGTTGGTTTTTAAAATGTCTTTTAATGAAAGTAGTTGTTATATTCATTTTACGAGGAAATAGGTAAAATATTCTTAGCTGAGAGGCTGGCATACTGATAGTATACACTAACTTCAAAATTAACTTCCATGCTTTGCCATGTTTGTTCCTACTAGTCAGTTCTTGAAGCTGGTTGTCCAATAACTGTTGGACATAGTTCCCATGGCTTGACTTTTACTTTGTTGCTGATATTGTGCAACAGGCACCTAGAGCTTCATGGTCCCCACCAACAGAGTCCAGAGTTAGAAAGACTTAGGCAGCCACCAGCCTCTGGAAGGGTGCAGTGGGTGCCTAGCCCTGTGTTGTCTTAGGCAAGTGGCCAGAGCAAGTACTCATGATTCTCCCAAGGATAGCTTCTTGTCGGGCATGGTCATAGACCCTTCAAACCCATTGTACAGACTGGGTCACAGACCCCTCAAGCCTGTTGTCAGGCTGGGTCACAGACCCTTCAAACCCGCTGTGCAGACTGGGTCACAGACCCCTCATGCCATGCACACTGGGTCACAGACCCTTCATATGCAGGCTGGGTCACAGACCCCTCATATGCAGGTTGTGAGCTAGGTAACTGGAAAAGATCCTGGGAGCCGTTGACAAGTTAACATACTTCGTTCAGACACGAGCTCACCCCCTAGCCTCCTCAGCAGCAGCAGCTTACAGAAGATGCAGTGGTGGCCTGGTGGCCTCCTGGGGGCACTGTGGATCAGAGCCATTGTCCTTTGTACTTAAGTCACACAATCCAGGGACACCTGGGTGCAAGTCAGATAACCAAGGAACACCTGCGTGCACGTTTGCAGTTAACATATTTACATCAAACAGGCTAGGTCATGCTCAGCAAGATTCCAAACAGCTGAGAGAGCCTGACCATTTGTCATTTTCCTTACACTGCTGCTGTGTAGATGCAATAGTTATTATAAGTGGGTACAGCCAGAACTGCCTCTGTGACAGTCAAGATAGACTTTGTGGCTTCTTTACAAACAAGGTTTATAGTCTGTGAGTTCTCTCATAAAGAACAAGAAATTTAACAAAATACATAGTACCTAGGAGGCCAGAAAGAAATGTTGGTTGAATAACTGAATAGCTCTGGTTTTGGGAGCCAGACACTGTCCTAGCATGGCAGCTTGAACAAGCTACTTAAGCTCTCTGAGCCTTGGTCTCTTATCTGCAAAACAGAGATGGAAATACCTTGGTTACAAGGTTCTCATGATGACATAGAAATGCCCAAGTCACGACAGGCACTCAACAAATGTTAATTCTCTTTCCTTAAGTAATCTGATATTTTTCTCTACAGATTTAGTCCAGCTGCAGATATGGCAGAACACAGGATTGATTGTATTGTTTAGAATATCTTTACAGAGAAATAGTGAGCTCTTGGTAAAAATTAAGTATTGGTAGAAATGAATATTGCAGTTTGGTAGCTGCTGATTGACACATGTTTGCTAAACAGCTACACAAATTCCAGAAAGCTTGCCTAGAAGGAAAAAAGAAATCCTAAGAACACTCTTCATCAGGTATTTATTTATAAAATTATCTTTGGAAAGTTTCAGCCGAAAATTTTTTATGAAACATTGGCTAGCTTTGACTCGAGTTCAAGTTAAGCCTGCATGAAAGCTTAACTTCAGTGGATTTATGAGAGCGTTGGGTCTTTTTGGAGCCCTAGTTTTTTGTTGTTGTTGTTGTTGTTTTAAAGAAAGAACTAGTCTTTTGGTCACTACATCTTTTTGTAGACCTGCAGGGAAGTCATAGTAACAGGCTTCATGTCTGATTGGGTTCCAT